TCCTTTTTTGTTCTGAGATATTTAAATTCTTCATGGCACTGATTCAACAAGCTACTGGAAACATTCCTCACAGATTCTGGTCCATATTAAAATGACTTCATCACATAGCTGCTGCAGAATTTTCAATGATGTGAATCTCTTGTTAAAACCACCTGTTGGACTGAGATCTGGTGACTGTGGAGGTCATTGGAGTATTTCAGTGAACTTGTTGTCACGTTCAAAAGGTTACATTAGTTACATGGTGCTTTATCCTGCAGGAATCAGCCTCCAGACGACGCTGTGGTTATAAAGTGATGCACACAGTCAGTTAGAATACTTCAAGCAGGCTGTGGTGTTTAAACAATCCTCAGTATGGGGTCCAAAGTGTGCCATTAAAATATCCCCCACTACACCACCAGCACCCTGTTCTCCCTTCTGCAGAAGCAACAGGATCATGCTTCTGCAAAACTCCTCTGTGATCTGTGTTGTAACTCTGAACTTATCCATATGATCCTGTTTCTGATTGAATTCTCTAAAAAGTTAAATTTTCAACAGATTCTGGTTTATGTGAGTCATCTTCTTCATTTTCAGAGCAGAATGTCAGGAATATAAAAATGTTCTCAGCTTCACAGGATCCACTTCATCATGTCTGCATGCCAATCGGAAGTGATTTGACACACACGCACAATGACTGATCAATGGTCATGAGAATTTGCACAATTATGATGAAGAAAAAGACCTCCCTGCCCATTGTTCCTTCAGTGATTCTAGTTTCAGTCATTATGTAAATGTACTGTTTATAAGATTGGGGAAACCTGCAGTCAGCTGAGACTGAAGAAGTCACTTGGATGAGTGACGAAACGTTTCTCCCACTGAAAACGCTACGTCCAGGATGTATCGTCCAAATGAACAGAATCAACTTAATTATAGAAGTTTATTTTTACAGTACTCACAGAGCAAACATGTTGCTGCAAACAACAAAATGTCTACAAATAATTTATTACAGATTTGTAATAAGATTTTCTTCAACTTTATCTAGTAGCTGAATTTTGTTTAACCCTTTTTTATTCATGGATTTTCAACAATAATTTCCTGAATCTTTCTGTCAAACACTAGTTTAATTTCTCTACACTAGCAGAAAAGCCAAAGACAAACATGGCTTCTGCTTGGCCTGACTCAAGGAATTAAGCTTAGACTTTGAATTTGAGAGGACTGTTGTGAAAAACAAAAACAAAAACACACCATCGTTTACCATTGTTCACGTTTTTATTCTGAAAGGCCTGGTGAAGAATTTTCTATTAAGTATGAAAGATAAATTACATTTTTATGGCACCATCTTCTTCTTCTGCTTCTTTATTAAAGAAAGAAGAATATCTCTCCATTTGAACTTTCTGGCCCTCAGTGGTTGTATGAGGTTTCATTTCATTTTCATCTCCTTTGTGAGGAGAACAAACAGAATATAAACCAGTGTGTTTACAGTGAATGTGAGAACCAGTTAGAGAGCAGCAGCTGGATTCCAGTTGTTGGACTGGTGGACGACTGCTGGGCTGAGCAGAGCCTCTCTGTTCTCTTTATATACAGCAAAGTGAAAGAATAAGGACATGTCAGTGAACGCATCAGAGTTATAACTTTCTGTGTTTGGGTCACATAAATGTTGAACTTTGGACACATTTTCTGCTGCTGCATGAGCAGTACATGACAAGTATCAGATCACACAGCATCTGCAGAGACGAGCAGCGTTGTTTCTGATACGTTTTAACCACAACTTGGCTCGGAGTGAAATCTAAATACTGCTGCACTCACTCTGAACCCTGATGAAGAAAGAGGAGGAGTCCCCAGAGCAGAACCAGGAAACACTGAAGAGATTATATGTCTCAGCTGGCTGGAAACTCCTGTTCCCTTGGAAAGGCTGGAGGAGGCGGCCTGGGAGAGGGAGGTCTGGTCTGTTTTTAGGCTGCTGCCCCACTGACCCGGCTGTGGATAAGCTCACATTTTACTAGAATGAGGATGTGCGCGCACTTTTTTTCCTACTCTCTCACTTTGAACTTGAGTTTGTTTGTTTTAACTTCTTTTCCTTTCGTTTCCTGTTCATAGTCAAGGAAAAGTTCAATTCTGATTAACAGATTTTTCATCTTTGTACTAAAAGATCAACAGCTGTACCTCTGTAGTCTTTGACTGTTATCTTGTGTTAGATGATGATGATGTCATCCATAAGTGACGTCTCCCCTGTCTGAAACACACACAGGACATCGGTGCAGACAGTGCAGTCCTGTCACTGACATAACCTCACAAGTATCAACAACACAAAAATAAATCACATTAATTATAGAAGTTTATTTTTACAGTACTCACAGATTTAATTTAATTTTAATTTAATTTAATCTATTACAGATTTGTAATAAGATTTGCTTCAACTTTATTTAGTAGCTGAATTTTGTTTAACCCTTTTTTATTTATGGATTTTTACTGACTTTTACTGACTGACTTTACTGACTCAAGGAATTAAGCTTAAAGTTTAAATTTGAGAGGACTGTGGTGAAAAAACAAACAAACAAACAAAAACAAACCATCATTCACTGTAAAGGTCGCCAGAGTTTAAAGAACTGTATGGATTGTGTAAATCTCACAGTTAAAGCCTGCTTGCTGTGTTTCCTGGGTTTCTGAGCAAAGATGAGAAACCTGCAGTCTGTCCTCTCACTTTCATTCAGGAAGAGAAGATCAGAGCCAGGAAGAGGAGCTGAGGAAGGCAGGAAGAAGGAGCCTGGCTGAGAACAAGGACTATGTTCAGGTGTGAGCACTGCAGCTGCAGCACAGCTGTGGACTCCACCCTGATGATTGTTTGAGTGAGTGAATTTTCTCTGTTTAGTTTGCTATTTAAACATGTTTGAGTGATTTGTTGCCTCTGATTGGCAGCTGAAAACTATGTGAAAAATGATTGCATATTTGATAGTGGATCCTTCTTTAGCCAGGTTTGTCACACAGTTTCTTCTTATTCAGCATTTAAACAGACAGATCTGTGTCTACAGTTTGAAACAACTCACACTGAAAAAATGTGAAATGTGGAGCACTGCTTTCAAATGAAAAGCCTCATATTTTTACATGTTACGTTATTATTATTATGTGTTTGATCTGGGGTCAGCTGGTACTAGAAATTGGCGATATATATGATTGAATTGAATCGAATTGAATTGAATGTATCCTCCCCCAACCTCAGACTTCTGTCATAAACATGTTATAAACATCAATACTAACTTGTATTGGTACCAAGGAGGCTCAGGCATGTCTGCACATGTCCTGTGGTTAGGTTTAGGCATTCATTTTTAAATGTCAAAGTTAGGGCAAGTGGCTAGTGGGAATGCATTATGTCAATGAGATGTCCCCACGAAGATAGCAAGACCCGCCGTGTGTGTGTGTGTGTGTGTGTGCATGTGTTTTTTCTCTTGCTTCATGAGAAGCTTGCAGAGTTTTGCAAGAGTGGCATGCAGTTTCCATGGTGACATTAAATGTTTACTTGAATGCTTACGTCCGTTTTGTCTTTTGACCGAAAGACACAAGAGGGGGATTCCTGTAGCAGAGGCTGTGTGCGTGTGTGTATGTATGTATGAGTGTGTGTGTGTGTGTGTGTGTGGTGTGTTCTCCTCAAGCCCTCAGCTGTTAAGATGCCCAGTTCACAAGAAATGTAACACCCTTTGTAAGTCTTTACAGTCCTTTCTAATTACTTCTTTGAGTACAAACACATTTGTTGTTTTATCTGCACATTTATTAATTATGACTCACTAAAACAGAGATCTCTCTCTGGCCACATATTCAAAAAACCTGCTAAGCACTTTTGCATGGAGGATGGAAACAATAGCTCACAAAAACACCATTAAAAATTAATTCAGATTTTTTTTGTGATGTACTAAATCTTCTTTAATGTCGTTTTAAAAAGGAAATAAGTGAAATGATTCAAAATCAAATTTGGGATCATATTTTTTTTATCTTTGCAATGAAAATTTCTTTACTCCTTCTGTCTTTGCAGTTTACTTTCATTTTACTGGTTCTGCTGAGTCACTGGCCATTCCAGCAGAAACCTGTCATAAAGTCTCTGGTTCCTTTTTGCTGTGTGCGTCTTGTTCCTGCCCGTCACTTGTTATTTATCCTTGTAAAGAATAAGAAGTGACACTGGAGCGAGTCTTTATCCTCACAGTGCAGCGGTGGATTCAGCCTGTTTAAGGTAACTAACAATGCTAATGCTGAGGCCTGTTGCATGCACACACAGTGTTAGAGCAATGGCTGCAGCCCACAGCCTTTAAAATAGTGATTAAACTCCTGTCTGTAAGCAAAGTGTCATCAGACACTAAACTTTCAAACACTTGAGATTAAAATGAGCTGACAGCGAATCGTGCACACTTTCATTCTGAATGTAAAGTAAATGACCTGTGTAGTAGTTGTATCAGACCAGCACACAACAAACATGACAACCAATGAGAAGAATTTAGAAGCTCACAAGTTTTTCTTTCTTAAAGAACAGGCTCTGCTAATACTAGTGTGTGTGTCTGTGTGTATATTTTGTGGGTTATCTGTTCACATGTCTTAACTAGATTATTTCCCATTTAAAGAAACAAACAAAAGAACAACATGCATTAAATTATTTCATTGCAAGAATCTGACCCATAGTTCTCACTTTGCAAACACAGTCTGATTAAAGTGTTTGTTTACATGTGAACAACGTTAAAATACGTCTGTTAACAGTTATGTTTTTACAATCTCAACCTGATCACCATCCAGCAGGAGGAGCAGTGAGTCCTGAGGCTGTGCTACCAACCAGGATTTCATCTGATCCAGGTAACTTCAGGGTCTCTGTACTGCTGGGGTAAATCACCACGGTAACTTAATCAGATTGGAGATCAACAATACTGTAGTTTAGCTTTTTCTCTCACGCTGCTGATTTTATATAAAATACACAACATGTATTTTAACTTTACTTACTCAGTAAACCCTGGTTAAACTTAACAAACTGAGCTTTGTGTGACTGCTTATTCTGAACAACATTGTTGGGGTAAGATACTGTAGGTGTGCTGAACTCACTACAGACTTTACCTCAGATGTGTAACTTCTGACTCATAAATATGTGTTTCAATCTATGCAGTGTTTCAAAATTCAAATCAATTTGACCAAACGCAAAACCATTGTACTGATTTCTAAGTAATTTACACACAATTTACTGTCTGTTTCACAAGTCTGATCCTCATTTTGCTTCCTGTGAGCACACATGTCTAAAAATATGTGTACTATTTTTAACTGCCCAAGACGCAGAGATCTATGGGACGCTGTTTGTAAAGTGAGATATGCTGAAATTAACTGAAAATGTTTTCCACATTTAGCTCAAAAACCTACAAAAAATGTTTTTTTTGTCATTTTTACAACATTTAGTAAAATATTTGTAACTTTTCATATTTAAAACACAATTTTAAATGTGAAATCTAAATATTAAATTTTAAATCTAAATGTTAAACGTGGTCAGGTTGTGTCTGCTCTCCCCGTCACTTCTCACCGCCATGAGCTGCTTCACTTCTTGCCTACAAGCATGTCCAGTGATTTAGCTGCATAGATAACATAGCTTCACAGCTGACCTTGGCATCATCCACCAGCAGGGGAGTCCTGCCATACTCAGATTCATACCCTGGCCTGGGAGACTAGGTCTCGTCAGATAGGGAGAAGGTTCGCTCCACAAGAGGGGCATAATCTCCGCTAACCAATGGGACCTCGTCACTCTGGTTAGAGTGGGAGAAATTAAGGCCAGTGGAGGAAACGCATAAAGCAGAGCATGTGGCCAATTGTGAGCTAATGCATCGACCTCTAGCAGAGCCTCCTGGTCCCTCGGGGAGAAATACAGTGGACACTGAGCGTTCTCCATTGAGGCAAACAGGTTGACCTGTGACTGGCCAAAGCGGGTCCAGATTTGGGTCACCACATGTGGGTGCAGGGTCCAGTCCCCGTACTGCGGGTTCCCCTTGGACATTAAGTCTGCTCCCAAGTTCAGAGCTCCTGGAATGTGAGTAGCTCTCAGTGACAACAGATTGATGCTGCTCCACATGATCAGTCTGCGAGCCAGCATGTGCAAAGGAAGGGACCGTATCCCGCTCTGTCTGTTGATGTACGCCACAACAGTGGTGTTGTCTGTTCTGATCAGAACATGGCAGTTTCTTTAATGGGAAGAAAGTGTCTCAGTGCTAGAAATGCTACTAGCAATTCTAGCCAGTTTATGTGAGCACCCCCAGTTGCCGCTGTGGCACCCCAGCCCGTGAGACTCGCGTGCGTGGTCACCACCTTTCTGGCTGTGACAACCCCCAGTGACACCCCCTGAGTGAGAAATCTGGGATTTCTCCAACAGTGGAGTGCCACAGCACAGTCTGCTGTGACTCTGATATGGCGGTGAATATGGTGCTTTCGATTCAGTCTCAGTGATGCTACCCATGGCTGAAACTCCCTCATATGCAGTCTGCCAAGTGGAATGACCGCTAGTGAAGACGCCATTAATCCCAGCATCTGCAGGAGTCTTCTGAATGGGAGATATCTTCCCACCTGAAAAATGCCGGCATGTGTGCATTTTTTTTTATTCTGTCCACAGAGAGAGTCACTCTGTACAAGGTAGAGTTTAGAGTTATTCCTATGAAGGAGACGGTCCCAAAAAGGCCAGCGGGGTCAATACTTTCATCCAGAATGCCAGAATGCCAGTTCACCCTCTCCTGTAGGACAATGATGCTGAGAGCTCTGCCCGCCGCTTGTACTGCTGCTCTAGTGAGGTGGAGACACTGGTCCGTAACGACGGCCAGCTCTTCCCACGGCTTGCTAGCATCCGAGTTTGCAGCAGTCTGGTCCTGGAGCTCCGCCAAGTAGGCTAGCAGGAGCGAAGGGGCGAAGGGATGGACCAGATGACATGGAAAGTTTCTAGTTTGGGTGGAGATGAGATGCAACCAGATTCTCCACTGTGGGAATTTGGTAGATGCCCTTCTCTTTCATTCCAGCGCAGTCAAACGCCGCTGCTCCCTGCACGGGGTTGGGTGATGAAAATGGCTTTGCCCAGCAGCATGTGACCTGCGCCACGCATTCAGGGAAAAGTGGTAGTACCTGCTTAGTAGTGCGCTGTGCTTTGGGGAGCCTTTTACCCTCGTATTGTGAGGTGGAGTTCTCCATTGTCACAGTGGGCCATGGGATTGCCAGCTTTTCAGCTACCCATTTTGCAACATCAAATAACTCTATGCCGCGGGACTATGTGCTGGGGTTATCACAGTCGGCCCCTTGTGTCGCAGAATTACAAACAGAGGGGGCAAAGAAAACGTTGTCATCCTCGTCCGAGATGAGATGTTCCGACGCTCCCTCAGAGGTTTCCCTGAGTAGCTCGTCATTAACCTGAACGGAATCAGATAACATAGCTTCGCAGCTGATCTCGGCATCGTCCACCAGTGGGAGGACAATATCCATCTCATCCCCACAGCTGGTGCCTGGTGTGGCTGACTCAGGGTGCCTCATTGGTATGCTGATTTGAGATAGCTTTGGGTCCTTCTTTGACAGGCTAGGCTGACGGGCTAACCTTCAGCAAAGGCTTTTTAGGGTGTGTTCACATGAACCCAGTGTGGAAATAGCCACTTGGGCGTGTTGCAGCCCGAGGCACATCACACAAGCGTCATGTGTATCTGAACCTGAGATTTTGCAACCGCAGGGGCAAATTCTGGGCAGCGGTTTGCAGTCTGCCATATTAAGGAAGTTTGGTGTAGCTAGCTTGGAATGGCTGGACAGTTGACGCTGATATTTTTTCTTCTCTCGGTCGGGTAGCTATGGTGAGCTAGTATGACCTAGCTGACCTAGAGCGTTCCCCATAGTGAGACACCGAAACGAGTGTTTGAAAGAGAACGGACCCTCCGATGTTTTCAGCCAAATCGCTGGATGTGCAGAAGTGAAGCAGCTCATGACGGTGAGAAGTGACCATCAGGGGAGAACAGACACAATCTGACCACCACCAGCACACTTTTGCACCGGAGGATTTAGTAAAGCTTTTATTTTGGTATTTCCGTTGATCCGTACAATAAATTTTCATGTTAGCTAAATATTTAGTTTCCTGTAACATTTACATTTAATATTTAAATTTAAATAGATTTAAGATTTAGATTTAAATATAATATTTAGATTTAACATTTAAAATTGTGTTTTAAATATGAAATGTTGTAAAAACTGCCCCTAAAAAATATGTTTTTGTAGGGCTTTGACTTAAATGTGGAAAAATGTTGCCATTAATTTCAGGATGTTTCACTTTACAAACGGTGCCCCATAGAGATCACGTCACATGCCCACATTTCTGCTACTGTTAGCACTTTGTGCTCTCATCTAACATGTGATATCCTGTCATATCAGGTAATTCCTTCACACATTTGCTGAACATAAACATTTTGGAGGGTAAATAATCACTATTCATTGTTGGACGTACACATTTGTAAATCTTAGTTTATGTTTGTGGATCATATCAGAAGCTTTGGTAACACAAACTTCTTGTGTATTTTCAGTCGACTCAGCTTCTCTTTTAAACTATGTAACACTCTGAATTTGGGATCTGCAGGACAACCTGAGATGGATACTTGCAAATCTGTGATATTCTGCTGGATTCTGCTCATCTGCTTTTCACCGGCTGAATATGCAGGTGAGACCAGCAGGTATCACTGTGTCTACTGCTGGGAACTGAATTTCTTTCATTGTCACTTTATATATATACAATTTAGATTATTAAATTCAAAATAATTAAAAAGCTCATTTACACCATGTTCCCCCCTTATAGCACTTTTTGGTCTGCTGATAGAAGGAGGGACAGAGGGAAGTACTGAATAGTTGTTGCTGAGCTGAATATTTCATGGGAAGTTGACATAGCAACTTTTCCTGTATTTATCTCACACACATATTATGTGAGAATTGTAAAGAATGATCAAAAGGTAACAAAAATAGTACCAATAATCTTGATAATGATGATAATAAAGACAGGTTTGTGCGTATGTGCTGTTGGGCCAATGAGACTCACTGATGAGATAAAGTTAAATTGTGATTTTTTGTGACATTTACTTATTTAAAGTGTAATAACTTATTTTCAAATCGTCTTTAATACATGTAAGTTCCTACAGCTGGGCTTGATGCAGGAGTAGCAATAAGTCAAAGAAGCTGTCCACCTTTATAGTACCCCGACTTACAAAATTAACACGTTCCTGGGGGTCTTTCGTATGTCAAAATTTTCGTAAGTCGAAGCACCCATCGCGCCTTTTGAATGAACGATAGACTATAGGCTAATTGCTAATGGCAACAACAATACGTCGTTCAAGTGGAACAGCGAAGCCAAGGGGTTGTCACATGATTCGGAAGGCACTTACAGTCATTTTATAATGATTGTAAGTACATTTATCTTTTTCCACACACATCCACAGCTCTAGCAGACTGTGAACGCTAGTTGTTGATATAGATATAGATTAGATATAGATATATAGATATAGAATTCCCAGAAGTTTGCAGCTCTAATGTGGATAAAATTCCTCTAAGGTGAAAATAGTGGACACATATTAGCATTAAGGACGTGTCTTAAATGTAATTAATCAGTTTGT